GTGAGAGAACGGCTCAAGACGAGGAGCTGCAGGCTGTGGAAATGGAACTGAACAGTCTGGTGACAGCAGCAGGGAGGTTGTGATGTTCGGACGTTAGCGTGTGCTCTGCACTCAGGCTGCAGACTGCAACACGAGCGCCCCTTCACAGCTGAGCTCGGGATCCCCCCTGGATTTCAGTCTGGGTCAGTGCCCAGCTGGGCACGTGACGACCTGAATCGGGTCAGTATCGGCCTAACTGGATCACTTCGACGACAGCCCCTAGCTCTCTGGGAGCTGCTGCTTCACACTAGACTAGTAACCTGCTGGTTTACCATCTGCTTTCAAGTAGTGGCTCTTCACCAAATAAAAGGTGGCAATGTTGATATCAAAATAAAAATAACTGGTAATAATTTTTAAAAAATCAGAAAAAAGTCGGAAAGAAATGTTTCTGTGCCCTGTGATTACCCAAAGGCAGCAGTCTTCATTTCTGATCCCGAACAGCCACTGTGTCTGCAGGGTTTCATGAAACATTAGCTCTAATTAACCCTAATGAATTAAAAATCAACTTCTTATTGGGTTTATTGGACCCACCGACCTGCCTGGAAACCCTGCAGACACACACCAACCGTCCAGGACGAATACTGCAGTCCTCTGGCACATATCATGCATAAGAACCTCACAGTGACATGGCATCTTAGACTTCCTTGACCTAAACCGCAGATCCGACAAGGTAATGTTCAATCGAAGCAGACCTCGAGTTTAAACATTTCCTAGTTCACGCGTGCAGTCACAGATCAAGGACGTGTTAAAGTTCAAAACAGTCTGCTGAAAAGGCAATTCCTCGTATAAACCAGTAATGCTATGCTGACCAAAAATTATTCAATCTAGGTGTGTAGCTATATCCGTCTGTAAGAGATACGTCAGTACTAGCCACGTCAGCAGCCACGGCACAACTCCGGATCCCAGAGCTAACGCTGGGACATCAAATCCTTTTTAGGCCACTTGGATACACTTTTGTTCTACCGTGCAAGAGCAACATGACTGCAAGAGAAAACTACTAATTTAAAGCTCGTCCTCTTCCATCGCGTCCACAATAAATCACTAATCCCCAACCGAACCCGTCCCTAAAAGGACCCTCCTTCCCGCGGCATCCCAAAGCGCCCATTGTTTTAAGAACAAAAAAAAAAAAGTTTAGCAAAACCTCCCTTTCAGATCCTAATCTCGCCTTGAGAGCGTCAGGAACCGTCTAGTTTATTTTCCTATTCATGTCCCGTTAACAAATCGGCCGTGCGTCCTGCCGATCACGACACGACGTGCAACAATGTTCTTTTAAAAGTCTTTTTTTTTTTGCTTCTCACGTTACATTCGAGCTCCATTAAGACTTCACAAACCCAGGCGGCCCACGCCATGCAAGATCCACTAATCTTTCCCACCCCCCCTCCTCCTTCTTCCCTGGTTGCACTCGCGGTTTTACGGGCGAAGGCGGATAAGGCCATCCTAAAAACGTTAACACCTCGAATCGAGCGACAGCCCTTTTTGCTGCTGTTCTTGTTGTTGTTGTACCGGCAGAGGAATAAAAACCCATTACCAGGGGGCGAAGAACATGACGAAGTGCGGGGCGATCTCGACGGCGTTGCCGAACATCTCGGCCGTGTACAGATGTTTCGAGTGCTCGTCCTCCTCGGCTCCGTCCTCGCACCTCGCCGGGCCGAGGAGCAGAGCGCAGCTGGCGAGGCCGAGCAGGAGCGCCACACCGTGCGGGGCAGCTGTGCAGACCATGCCTCTCGTCGTGCCCGGGCCACCTGTATCCGAGACTGAGACTGTGCGGGGGAAGCGGCGACGGCTCGGATACAATTCAGCACTCCCCCCC